ACGTTTCATAATCACAGTGACCCTGATCCCCTCAGTATCACACCTTGGCTATAGTTCACTATGATCTCTGGAGATTAATTCCACCTACATTTCAAACCAACAAAATACATCCATATAAACAGTTTCACACGCCGTCCTGATTGTTGTTTTTGTCCAGGTCCCGGCTGACCCGACTTGCCTCTTCACATTTCTTCCACTAAATCACCTTGAGACTTCTGCCACCCCCTTCCTTCATGACCTCATTATTAGAAGCTCCTGGAAAAGCTGATGTACTCACATACAGCACTTAGAAATATTTCAGCCCGACGCTCCGCTCAGTTCGTAAAGGGCACAGTTATTATTGCAGCATCATGACACGGTACTACTCCCTCTTTTTATGAACCGCTGATAAATCAATTGTTAAGTTATAATTTTGCACCAAAGATTTTCTTCCAAAACTGAAGGCGGCACAAAGTGAAAAGGTTCCTCCTTACCGGGCGTGACTTCTATCACAGTGTCTTGTCTCTCTGGAGGGAAAAGGACTTTGGGAGGTTGAGTCGTCTGCAGCGCTGAAAGAGACCAAGAGGACAGGTGATTGATACGAGTGTGCAACAGTTTCAGGCTAATGGGGTTTCAATATTCAAATCTTATGAAAATAACATTCTTCTTTACATATTTATTAAACCTTTAGCCACATAAAAACCCATCAAGATCAAGACTTTGTTCACAAGGGGTGATCTGGCCAAGAAAGGCAACAACACACACCTTGACAGACAAGACAAGTAGAAAGGAATAACATTTAATGTATTTCTGATGTCTATTTTAGTTATAAATGACAGTAAAGTGAAGAATTGTGACAAAAATACAATGATAATAATCATAAAACAGACCAGGACTGGCATGATACATTTTGCTGGACGATAAACTGTCCCAGACATTATTGCGATAAACAATAATATTGTTGTTTCGAGACCATTTCAAGTCGCATAATGGTAATGGAACAGTAACGCAAGAAAAATTCTCAAGACTCAAAACAATGTAAATTGGCAAGAAATTTGACACAAAACATAAACGATACAACAATTACCCACTCCTAATTAAAATACCTTTAAGTTCGTAGGTTGTTGCATGAAAAAAATGTGAAAAGGTTCAAAAAATATTTAACACTTTTGCAAGACACTTGATGTTTAAGAATGAGAGGTGAACTTTTTTAATCAGCTGGTGCGTAGCTGACGTATGGTGATGATAAATGTAGAGGCAGAAATGGGCTGCGTTGTGTTTTAGGTTCAGCCTTTTTTGCTCGACACTTTTGAATTTACAGACAGCTGGCAGGAAGCAGCTTTGTCAGGTGCTGGAGTATTTACTGAGAGATTCAATATTTAACCCAAGGACATTCTGACATGTCGGATAGGATCAACCCGACAAGCAGAAATATATCTATAGAAAGGAAATAACTATGTTCAATAGAAATATCTGAATTTGTGGCCGTGGGAAGCAACGAGATGCAGCAGTTTGGATCCACAACAAGCCGAATAATTGTTGCTCAAATGGAGGATTCTGTTGTTTTTGTCTTAATTTGATAACAATTAGGTTTTTATGTCAGAGTAGAGAGTTCTCTCTCTCTCGCTTCTTAAACGTTGACTTTCAGTTAAACTTCAGTTTCTCGTTTTTGGATGAAACACCCTTTATGAGACTTTTATGATGTGACATGAAGGCACACGGAGGATTGCATTATTCTTCTTTTCCCTTCCATCCTCTTCCCAGGTAACCCTCTCCATCTCTCTATCTCCCTGACAAGATTGATGGTTTCATTTGCATTCTGAAAGTTACGCCGTGCCCTTTTAAGATTAATGAGACAACCCTTCACCTATAGCCCCCCCCCCACCCCCCACTGTCCCAGCACTCCACCTACCGCCATGTTCTCCTTGCTTTGTCACCATTTCCTCATCGCTTTTGTTCCACGTACCCAGTGCATTGAAACAGAACTTAAAATAAACAAATCAATAAATACTACGTATTTTGATGACGTATTGTAACGTCAAATTCAACATGCCTTAAAATGTAAGTGTCTTAGTTGTAGTCTTTGGTTTACTTTACATTCTTTTTATTTGCGCTTTTACAAAGTAACATGATTGTTACTCAAAAAATGTTCATGTCGGATAATATGTCCAGGTTGGAACGTGAATACTTTTTAAAGTTACACATTATATATATATATATATATATATATATATATATATATATATACACAAAAAGCAAATGCAAGAGTTTGGGACTTTTTGTTAACCCATACTACCATCTGAATGTGAGAAGGTGGGCAGCAATCACATGATATTGACAAGATAGGTTTTCACTTCTGGCTGCCAGCATCATAAAAACGGCTGTAATTTTTACTGGAGTTAAAAATCACAGCCTGCTGCTGGTTTGATTTTACATCCATGCTTGCATGTGAGTGGCTAGACTGTCAGTGTTATAAAGGTTCACCAAGATCTGAAGTAAACAGTTTTAGGAAGATAACTTAATTGCAGTAAAACTTTTGTGAGTTTGTTCACGACTGAATACTGCGTATGATGATTGGACAAGCTGCTGTTGCTGTGCTCAACTTTTGCAACAAGATTTATTGACATCAACGTGTTAATTTGAAAAGACCAACCGGCAAAAATAGGTTTTTCAGGTAAAAATAATCAGCTGTAAATGGGACATTGACCAACTTTAAGCCCATGAAGAGTGCTAACAAAATAAAATGGAGGAAAATAAGAGACTGATTGTTCACAAGGCTGCTGTTTACCGTCAATGAAAGTATGATATAGATACTGTGAAAGAACAGTAAACTTCTGGCGTCTATAGCTGCCAGTAGGTTTTTTTTTTTTTTTTACCGTTCTTTCAGAAAAACAGTAAAAACAAAAAAGGAAAAAAAACAAAATCTGGTGTCTGTAGACACCAGTATTTTACTGGAAATTTCAGCTTTTCAATCCTGTTGGAAAAACCAATTGAAAAAAACACGGGCAGCCTTCACAGAGGCGGTCTGTGTGGAGTTTCCATGTTCTCCCTGTGTTTGCATGGGTTTTCTCCGGGTGCTCCGGTTTCCCCCCACATCTCCCAAAACATGTCGGTCAGGTCAGTTGGTCACTGTAAATTGCCCCAAAAGAGTTTGAGAAACTCCAAACATATTATTTTGAGTTTATTTGTTAAACTTGTAAAATGAGTTGAATTAGCCGTTAGCCCTTTTCTCTCTGCTGTTTGAGTGGAAGCCGGACCAACACTCGGCGAATTGATTTAAGAATTAAAGTTTCTTCTTTTAATAGTAATGATTTCTGTTTATTTTCACTGTACTTGTGCTTTTATGGTTTGTCCTTTAGTTTACCTTTTCTACTCACTTCTCATATTAAATTGCACTGAATTGTAGCTTGTTACACTTTTTAAATCTGCATTTTAAAAAAGATTAGCAAAAGGATCAAGCAGGTTTTTTAGGGCGGCTGTGGCTCTGAGGGTAGAGTGGTCGTCTTGTGACCAGAAGGTCCAGGATGCAATTTAACATGAAAACCGTGTAGAAAAGGGAAAAAAGAAGAACAATCCATGAACGTATGAAAATAGAGAACTTAATCAGAAATCATTTCCATTACAGGAGGAAATCGATTCTTAGATGAATACTTTGTGTTGTTGAGCTTATGTGGTGTCTGCTTGTAAAAAAAAGAGGAAAAAAAAAAACTGAAATAATTCAGTTTTTTTTATTAAACCAGCTTAAAAAAAGCTGGTTAAAGCTGTTTAGGATGTTACTTATAGGTTTTGTTTGTCAACCTGGGTTTAATTCCCAGTCCTGGGGAATCTGCTGCATGTCACTCCCTTCTCCCTCCCCCCAATTTCCTCTTCAACCAATAACGGCCTAAAAACTTTATTAGAACCTAAAAAACTTTATTAGAACCTAAAAATTTTTTTAAAAACAACTAAAAAATACATTTCACTTCACAAGTGGACCAAAAGTCAGAATATGCTCACCACCACATTGTGCTCGATTCCTCATGTTAAAAAACAACTTTCTTCCACTCTCTCATTTTCTTTCTTTCTTGGTTACTAAATATACACACATACACATCCCCCCCATGGGCTGCCACCTTATCATGGTAGGGGGGGGTTTGAGCATCCCACTGATCCTGGGAGTTATGCTGTCGGGGCTTCATGCCTCTGGTAAGGCCACCCGATGCAGACGGGTCCTAGGTGAGGAACCAGACCTTGTGCAGCCCAAAGATCCCTTATGATGAATACGACCACACTCTAAGAAATAATCCTGTAAATTTACAGTCAAATACTGGCAGCTATAGACGCCAGTCGTTTACTGTAAATGCACAGTAGCTGTACCGTAATTAATCCTGATGGTTAATGGCGATGCGTTGACATGGCAGAATCCAAAATAATGCCAGTGTTTCTGTGACTTGGTCAAGGTGTCGCCTCATTTCAGTTATTTGACTGTAATGACGGATAATTAAGATTTCCATTTTGTCGCAGTCACTGACGACAACTTTCGATATTCAGAAGATCTGAAGGAAGAATGCAGCTGAATGTCATCAGCAGAGAAATTATGAGACGTGAAAATTTACTTCTTATTTGGCCAAAAAGGAAAATATAAAAAAGAAAGAGAACAGGTCCTAATACTGAGCCCTGAGGTATCCCACATAGCAGGTGGAGCCAAGATTAAAACTCTACACTCTTAAGAAAACTCTATTATAGAAAGAATTGATATTTATGCAATCACTAAAAATCATCATTATTTTGTAGAAATCAGTTTTCTGATTGTTGTTTTGAAGCTCATCAGCCATTTTGTTGTAGTTATTGGAAGATATTTACATTTGATAAACCAAACTTTTGAGTTCTAAATTTGGCCTTTACAGAGTTTTGATTGGCTGTTGTTCAATCTTTCAATGACTTTTATGCAAAATCGCAAGCTGTTGATGCAGATGGATTCATTTAAATAATTTATTAATTTATGTTGGCCTATTAGGTGGATATTTTCACAAACAAAATCCTAAAAAAAGTGTTTAGGTAAAACAAATTATTCCTCATCCATTAATCAAGTTTTTTTTTTCATTTATTTGAATTCTACAGGAAACAAAACCACAAACGTTCCAGAATTACTCCAGTCATGTTGGAGTGTCTGTATGTATTATTTCTGGTTTGTTCTTTTTTTAACTTTATCTCATGAGTTTTTCAGATGCTTCCCTGAATGTTTGAACATTTGCTCCCTCTGGTTTTGGATGCTGGGCAGCCGGAAGGATTTTTGCTCTCACTTTTTTTTTTTTCGCTTTCGGACCGTTACGATGTGTAACCGTGGCAACAAGGTTACCTGTTTTACAACTGGGAGCAGCTGGCTAGCATCTCAAAAGCTCAAATAATACCTGAACTATGATCTCAAATCCTGGAGGAAAACGGTTCAGATTTAAAGCAAGGCTGACTGCTACCAGATCACCTTCCTTCCAGCAACATCTCCGTCCACAACGACTTTTTAAATAAATACCTGATGAGATATAACATTCAATTTCTCTTTGTGATGAAGTTGTTGTTTTTTTAAACTGAA